CCCCCCTCAGCAGGTAAAGTGTTGAGGGGGAGGGGCAGGGAAGGTGCTAAAGGGGTAGATCAGGAAGAGGGGAATGTGCCCCTGTGCCCACTTCCAGGAACAGGGCCAGAGGATGAGGGCAGGGGTGAAGGGCTGTGATGGCAGTGACGGCTGTTGCCGCCGTGGAGCTGCACAGCTCCACGGCAGCAATGGGGGGTTATGGAGGTGGTGGCTGGGCAGCACGTGCCGCTGCTGCCGCCAGCTGCACAGCTCCGCAGCAGCAGCGGGAGGTTGTGGAGGCAGCGGCCGCCACTGCTGGCATGGGCGGCAGCTACCGCTTGCCTGTGGGGCTGCCCATGCGAGCGGTGGTGGCTGCTGTGTACAAAACAGCAGTGTGGTGGAGCGGCAGTGCAGGGTGGTGGTGGTCAGGCGGCTCGCAGCCATTCGCAGCTCCACCACTGCGCTGTGCCTTTGCCACCGGCCGCACAGCTCCACCACCGCGCTGCGCCTTTGCCACCGGCCGCACAGCTCCGAGCATGGCTCGGTGGTGGCAGCGGGAGGTTTTGTACGCAGCGGCCATGACTGCTGGCATGGACAGTCCCACAGGCAAGTGGCAGCAGCTGCCCGTGGCAGCAGCTGCCCGTGGCAGCAGCTGCCCGTGGCAGCGGCGCAGTTCCAAGCACGGCTCCACGGTGGCAGTAGGAGGTTTTGGAGGCAGCGGCCGTCACCGCTATCATGGCCCTCCAAGTAAGTGGCAACGGCTGCTGCATACTAGCCCAAACCTCTGCCTCCCCCACCCCCATCCTTCGCCATGGCTGCAGCATCAGCCATGGAGCTGTGCTCCGGCTGCATGCCAGCCTCCTTCTCCCCTCCCCTGGGCAGGTGGTTGGGTGGCATGTGTGTGGCCCACACATGGCGGGCACCACCACACTGCCCCCTGTATCACTTGCCTGCAAAGCCCCTCCGCAGAGGGGCACCACTGGCCCTGCTCCCAGCCGCTGTGTGCCACCTGGGGCCAGCAGCACGTCCTGCTCCCTCAGCCCCCAACCATCTTCCCCAGCCCTGCCCCAAAGCCCCACCTACCTCCGTGCTCCAGGAGCGAAGGGAGAGTGTGAGCCTGAGCCTGGCCTTGGCTGCCTCAGAGGCTCAGGCCTTGCCCTCCCCCTCCGGTCAGAGCTGGAGGTTTCCCGCCCTTTTTGCAAATTGTGCCAGCCTGCAAGAGCTCTTTGCAAAAGCAGAGAATCCTCGGATTTCTCTGCTAAAAAGAGAAATCCGTGTTTTCTCCGATATAAAAACCGTGATCTGTGGTTTTCTCTGTTTTCCATGGGTAATGGAAAACCCGGATCCCTGGTGTTGACCTAAATGGATTCTATCAACCTGCCAACTCTTGTGCTTTTGCAGCTGGTTTTCTGTAGGGTTTTTTTTTTTTTTTAAATGTCTTTATTTTTCTCTGCCTTAAAACAAATAGGGAAAACTGACTAACATTTATAATACTCTATTGTGTAGAGCAGATAATTAAAAGGAATGTTTGTTTAATTTATTGGGATCCCAAGCGGAGTGATGAAAGAGAGAGACATTTTTTAGCAGAGGTATATTTTTCATTTAATTAATTTCATTTAATACATTTCAGAGGTGTAAGTTTATAATGTCGCATTAAAAAGTCAGTTTCATTTAAAAGTAAAATATTTAGAAGCCTGTTTCTTCAGTTACCTAGCAAGTGCAAAGTTCTGTGTTCTCCCGTATTCTTGTCCAAAGTGGGTTATGGGTATAATCTAAAACTAAATGGACAGTGCACAAATCCAGGGTGAAATCTGAAGCTCGTTGAAATCAAAAGCAAAATCCTCTTGACTTCAGGATTTTATGCAAGCCTTGTGGCTTTAAGTATGATCCTGTAAGAACTTATCCATGTTGAGGTGAATAACTTCACTTGCTGGCAAAATTAAGCAGGTAGTGTTGGGGCCTTAATTTGTACTTTATGCTTTCTGATTTTTTTTTCATAATGATATTGCCAATAGGAAAATGTATATGTATGGAATGGGGAGATTTGCTGGGTATTTGGGAGTTCAGTTTATGTTGATCCATTAAAATGCTAATGGATGTTTTCATAATTAATAGATCTTGTTAGAAAGCAGGGACATGCTTTTAAAAAAATCACCACTTTGTTTCTGTTTTTCATGCAGACTTTTTCCCCACAAAACTGAAATTCTGCAAGTAATCATACGATGTGTTTAAATTTAGTTATTTCAATTTTGGGCTCAATCCAAGTGAATCTCCTACAGAAATCACTGAATGATACCTGAGCAGGGTGCGTTCTTCAGGAAATATAAATCTTTATTTTCTACAACTGAAGTCATAAGTCCTGCAGGGCACCTTATAGGTCTGAATTTGATGGTAGGATAAATGGCAGCAGCATAAATTGCTATAGCTCCAGAAGCCACAGCAATTAATGTTGCCATCCCTTCCCCACCACCAAATTTCTGGTCCCCTGGGGAGCCTTGCTGGCCATATCTGGTCACCACTGCTTTAGAGGGCTTAGAATTATGCTCTTATTCATAGATGCTAGGGTCAGAAGGAACCTTAACAGACCATCGAGTCCAACCCCTGCCTAGGCAGGAAAGAATGCTAGGGTCAGATGACCTCAGCCAGATGTCTATCCAGGCCTCTCTTAAAGACCCCTGAGGTAGGGGAGAGCACCACCTCCCTTGGAAGCACATTCTGAATTTTGGCCACCCTTACCATGAAGAAGTTTTTCCTGATATCTAGCCCAAATCTGCTCCCTGTCAGTTTGTGACCATTGTTTCTTGCCGATCTATGAACCCATTAGGAGACTTATCTTGAACCCTGTTCAGGAACACCAAGGCAAAAAACTCATTGACTAGCTCAGCCTTGTCCCCCATCTGTCACTAATTGCTCCTCCTTGTTCAGTAGGGGTCCTATGCTGCCCTGTGCCTTCCTTTTACTCCCTATGTACCTAAAAAAGGACTTTTTGTTGTCTTTAATTTGTGTTGCCAGCCTCAGCTCTGTAGTTGCTTTGGCCTTTCTAATTGCCTCCCTGCAAGTGCGGGACAAGTAGGTATACTCCTCCTTGGTAGCTTCCCCCTGCTTCCACCACCTTTATGCCTTCTTTTTTGCCTTTAGGCTCTCCTGGATTTCTCTGTTTAACCGAGGAAGTTTTTTGGCTCCTTTCCCCCTTTTCCCTTGTACTGGGATAGTCTCCCTCTGTACCCGAAGGATCGCTTCCTTTAGAACTGACCACCCTTCCTGGACTCCCATCTCACCAATACTCCTATCCTGCAGTGTGTCATTGACTAGACCCTTAAGCACACTGAAGTTAGCCTTCCTAAAGTCAAGCACTTCCACCCTACTAGTTATCTTACCCACCCTATGCAATGTGGTGAATTTGATTGATCGGTGGGCACTGTCGCCAAGGTGACCACGAATCTGCAGCTCCCCTACCAGATCATCCCCTGTAGCCAACACCAAGTCCAATAAGGCATTCCCCCTAGTGGGACTGTATACCTCCTGTGTTAGGTGAAGGTCCTGCACACAGGTTAAGAGCCTATGTGAATGGTTGGATTTGGCTGACTGCTCCTCCCAGCAGATGTCAGGGTAGTTTAGGTCCCCCATGATAACCATGTCCCTAGACTGTACGGCCTCTGAAAGCTGCCTCAAGAATTCCAAGTCTAGCTTTTCCT